GCTCTTTTACCAACGAATATTGGGATTGACCGTCACATTATAACGCCCCCACGGCTAAAAGGGCGAGCATGTTTGATGGGACGGGGATTCGAACGCGCGACCCTCAGATTGCGAGTCGAGCGCCCTAACCACCTGGCCATGCCGGGCCCCCAGGCGAGGAAGATCGTGTAATTAAATAATAGGTTTCAAGTCAGGCGAGGAAGATCGTGTAATTCAAATAATAATTTTTGAATCTCCTCCCTCTTAAAAAAATAAGGAAAACTTTACTTCCCTTTTCAGTAAAATAACTTTTACGTTTAAATATTCCATATGGTAACGAAGTGAATTCGTTGTTTCTAAGCTTCACTAACATATTATTTCCGAAGAACACATGTAAATAGGAAACGTAGAAAAAAACTTAACCAAGTATACATTAATTATTTGTTGTTGGAAATGTTTTAAAAATACTTTTACAAACTGAGTTATTATTTAGTGTTTGGAGGAGGAGTGGGAGAGAATTGCTTTGGAAAGCTGTGGTGTGAAATGTATTGCTTAGGAAAGCTGTGGTGTGAAATGTACTTTGGAAACTAGAACGAAAGCTGTTTTTTGTTGTTGTTTTTTTTACGTGTGTGGGGAGAGACGGAACAGAATATCTAGTTTTACACAAAATTAAATTTATTTCTGAAGCGGGGAAATACTTTATGGACCGGGCATGGTCTCGTGATTAGCGTAGTTGACAGCTCGTTTCAGCTAAAACAACATAATTCGCACTTGCGCTATCAGAACGACTGTCAAACCCCACTACTTGGTAAAACGAGAGTAGCCCAGAAGATGGCGTGAATGCTAGTCTCCTTATCTCTAGTCTATCTGTTTAAAATTCGGGACGGTTGTGAGCAACACCTTTTCGTAAAGATTTGTAAGAACGTTCTGTAACAAAAGCGCGCGAAAGTGCAGGCTGAGATAAAAAGAAAAAACGTAAAGGATTAAGGTGTGCATAGGTTGTATAAGACTGTTTTGAAAATTAGGCGTAGTGGTTGTCGAAAGAAGTATGTTGTAAGTCAAACTACGAAAGACAACAAGAAGTTAACTAGATATATATATGATCAATATATATATACTGTTGTGAATAGAACGTTTCGGGCACTTTCTAGGTTAAATAAGACTGTATAGGAAATTAGGCGTAGTGGTTGTCGAAAGAAGTATGTTGTAGGTCAAACTACGAAAGACAACAAGAAGTTAACTAGATATATATATGATCAATATATATACTGTTGTGAATAGAACGTTTCGGGCACTTTCTAGGTTAAATAAGACTGTATAGGAAATTAGGCGTAGTGGTTGTCGAAAGAAGTATGTTGTAAGTCAAACTACGAGAGACAACAAGAAGTTAACTAGATATATATATGATCAATATATATATATACTGTTGTGAATAGAACGTTTCGGGCACTTTCTAGGTTACAAAAGAGCCGTGGTCTGGATGCTTCTAATGCTAAAAATCGGGTTTCGATACTCGTGATAGGCACAGAACACATAGCCCATTGTGTAGCTTTGCGCTTAACAACAAACAAACATACATATATATACGTATCTATTTTTTTATTATTCTAAAAATATCCTGTATCTTTTGCAAAACATCAACTTGGAAACAGTTTAGATGAAAAAACCAAAACCAAAACTTGACGATTGTATGGATAAGTTACTTACAATTACTTTACTCTTCTTCCTCTAATGATAAAAGTACACTGTCTCAGAAAATAGTCCCCCGCTGGGACAGCGGTAAGTCTTCGGATTTACACTACTAAAATCAAGGGTTCGATTCCCCTCGGTGGACACATCAGATAGCCTGATGTGGCTTTGCTATAAGAAAAACACCCATTCACACCCACTCAGAAATTAAGAAGGAAACGAACTTGGTGTGTATGATATATTTATATATATATGTGTGTGTGTGATAGGCATGCAACGAACCAGTCTGGTAGGCGATAACTAAGTAGAAAGCTGGTTAATGTGATACATACCCTGATAATAAAAATGAATATTTCTTAAACGGTTTATTTTGAGACATCTTTCACTTTCGATGTCCAAATATGTTTGTAAGAACGCACCTTCAAATCGTTTCACAGGAATATGTACAGGCGTTGTTAAGTCGCGGTGTAAAATACAACAAACGGCGTTGAGTAACATCACGAGCCTCATCGTTATAAACGTTACTTATACATTCTCTCTCGACTGGCACGTGTATGCCACGCGAATGACGTACTATTTTGTGTGCTCATCTGGCGGTAGCATAAGTAGTAGCGGGGTGACTCTATTTACATTAACCTCCAGGTGTGTGCAAAATAAAAACACCTGGGCTGAACTAGAGACATTATTAGTTTGTTCGTTTTTGTTTTCGAAATACCCTTAGTTTTAAAATTATCAGAATTTTTAGTTAACGATCCTACTTGCTGTCATGATATTGTTATTATGAAAATTTTGACATAATTTTTCAAAATATTAGAAAGCTTTAATTATGGGTAACAATAATATAAGTCTCTGAAATCATCACCAATATACCTCAAAATATTATCGGCTTATGACCCTAATATAACATTATACAAATACTACTGTTTATGTCATACAGCAAGCTGAATGAACAACAGGCATACATTTGTATTTGCTTTTTCGTTCATCTTCGGGATACCGGCCCTTCGAAACTATGTTATAGAACTAATCGTCATAGAACGGAAATGTCTGGCGCGACCACTGTGCTAATCATATGAATATCTGTGTTGGTTTTAGCTCACTTTTTCACTTAAGAACTACAATATTTTCAGTGTATTATGTCTTAATAATCTGGTTTTCATGGTAGCGTTTTTATGTTTCTGATAACTGAGAATAATAGATAATCTCATAGGTCAGATTTTTTATTTTGGATAAACATTCGTACGTGTGTTAGCTTATACGTAGGTAACTTTCACTGCTAAAAGTACTATGAAGTTGCGCCAAATGAGCAGAATTGATGCATGTTATTTATTGGCTCACGAAATACTAGAATTTATCATCAATCCTAGTTAATGTGAATAATAATAGTGAACGAAGTAAGATGTTTGTTTGTTTAAGCTCACAGCTGCACAATGGGCTATGTGTGCTATGTCCGACGCAGGGATCAAACCCCGAATTTAGAGTTATATGCCATTAAGTTTCCGCTGAACCAGAGATAAATAAAACAGGTGTACTGGGAATAAAAGAGAACTACTAATTAAAAGTAGCACGTGCTCAAAACATAGTAACCATTGAGTTGTAATACGAATTTTCAGTAATATGAAACATAACGTACAACAGAAGTTATATTCCATGACCGGTTCATAAAATATTACATGTTTTATATGAGTGATTAATAACAAAATAAAATACCCGAATAAATAATCCAGCATAAGGATTTGTTTTGTTGCTTTTTGTGTTTTAGTCTGTACAACGTGTAAATATTTCAAGACAATAAAACCATCGTTAGACCTGTGTTAACAATAAAACCATCGTTAGGCCTGTGTTAACAATAAAACCATCGTGTTATTAATGCCCCTTCGAAATACATTTTTAATAATTTATTGATAATTGTATATGCCAACATATATTTCTCTATGGTATCGTTTCCCATTAGTTTACAGGTAAGTCTGCGGGCTGTAAAGCGCTAAAATTGGGTTTCGATACCCGCGGTGGGTATAGCCCAGGTAGCCCATTGTGTTGTATTGCGCTTAACAACGAATGAACAATATGTCCAATTAGTGGGGGCAGCTGTAAGTTTATGAGCTTAGAATGCTAAAATCCAGAGTTCGGTTCCCCCGTGGTGGACTGAACGCAGATAGCTTATTGTGTGTAGCTTTGCGCTATAACAAACAGTTTTGTCTACCGGTGACTCAGTGGGAAGTCTGATGGCTTATAACATTCAAAATCATGTTTCAATACCTGCGATGGGCAGAACAAAGGTAGTCATTGTGTAGCTTTGTGCTTAACAATAAATAAACAAACAAGCGGTATGGTTTCATATATATATATATATATATAAAAGAATTTAACATTTCAAGCTGATATCGAAAACTATTTGAACTCTTAACCAGAGCACAGGGAAGCTTTGTTCAGCACTTATAACTAATTAACAGAATTAACTGTCACAAGTAATAACAAGTAATGAACAAAGGGCCCCCAGCAGAGAGTGAGAAGTGTTTTCAGTGGCATCACGATTTGAATCATGAATCTTTCGATCCACACCCTTACACACTTGACTCGTATATATATATATCAGGAAAATGTAATATTTATATGCACCATTTGTGTGTGAAGAAGGGGGACCCAAGAATATGGAGGCCTTCAATTGCATTGAGTATTTTAATGTGACACTTGCAGAAGAAAAGTTGGGCCATCTCTATTTTAAACACAAGTAAAGTCTTAGTAAATAGCAACTAGTTTAGTTTTCGGATACTTTATTTTTATGGTCTCTCATACAGACCTGATTGCTGTCAGTTTCTTCAGTATCTAGAACTTTTAACAGTTACAGATGTAGAATTCCCTCGTCAGCTCTTCCCCAGGACACTTCTTCGTTCTTGTTCCTACGTAGATAAAATTTTCACCAAATCATTTTCTAAATTTAAGCGCAACTTAACATTTCCTAAATGTATGTCACATTATTACTTTCTCAACGTTGCCTTTTTAAAGTTCGTGTTTAATTTATAATTATATCTATGGACTTCAGAATTTTGTTTACGTTTTGGTACTGAGTTTAGGCTTGGGAAACAGTACATTTGTGAACTGTCCAAAGCTTTCATAGGGCTGAAGCTGTACTTTAGAGACAAAAGATTGGATATAATTCTGGGTGATTGAAATTGGTAGCATTAATCGTTAATGTTCATCCTACATGGTCATCAGAGGCCCTAGAGAAGTAGCACATTCGAGTTTCCACTGTTTGAGTCCCATTAGTCCTGTAAACAGGTTACTGATTAGTTTTATAATCTGCCAAGTTGTTGTGGATATCATGGACTAGGTCATTATTTATGTATTATTTTCTTCCTAATCTGGTTGCAATGCTTGAATCTTTAAGAGTCTTGTGCTTGTCTGTGAGCTGACGATCAGCCTGTTTTAAAATTTAAGTTGTGATATATTCATCAAATTTAAGTTCAGTTTTTAATCAGTTTCATTGAACTCTATAGTTTCATCTCCTTTTAATTTCCGATCAAATTTCAACGCCCTTGGTGCTTAGTGTTTGTTTGTGCAACTGATTAATAAAAATATTTGTGTTGTTATTTGTTGCACATCTCATGCCTTGTTTATTTCACTTGTCAGCATCTATTTGCATGTGGCATTGCTCAGGTGCCCCATGCTCATACAAATGCAGGAAGGCTACAAGTGAACACAGTGGTCAGCTCAGGCAGATTTCTATGAGTATAGAACCAATTCAGGATGGTTTCCTTCGCACTCTGTTCTCAGCAGAGAATGGTGAGGTGAAATAAGTAAATGTTGTAAACCTAACAAAGATGCTGCAAAGGAAGACTTGAATACATGTCTGAGGTGTTTCAATCAGGTAGTTGCATGGAATACTTGGATGTAAGACGAAGCTACAAAGCACCTTCTGCTAGCTCTATATGAACAACTGAGTGCGGAAAAATTTGGTCATCATATCTCAATTGTGGAAGAGCTTCACCATAGGTTTCTGCAGAGAACTGAGCTTCACGCAAAACAGAATTAAAACTTAGTTGCATAGATTTCAATAAAGATCTAGCAGCTTTTGCTAATGAACTATATTACTTACACAGTAAAACAAATGTAAGCATAGCCACAAGATATTCTGGTAAATAGTCTAACAAATAGGCCTGTATGGTATCAGAGACCTTCTGGAATTAAGTTAAGTTGTGTGTGTGTGTGTTGCAGTTATGTTTGATGTAGCTTCTAACACAGCCTCAGAGCTTAAAATAAACAGTAGCAGCAGCTACTGTGGGTCACTAAACTAAGGCATAACTTTCAGACATACCTGCTCCTCTGAGTTATCAGATAAAGTCCCATCAAGCTCAACATTTAGTTACAGCAAGTTGTAGAATGCCAACAAAGATAGTGTACACTCATTAGATATAAACGCCAGTATCTTGTTCATACTACTGAACAACAACTTTGGCAAGAAAGCTGTTATGATCAACATCTTGATAGAAATTAAGATGTATTCTATTGCTTTGGATATCAAAAACAATTATGTATTAATGTTGAACAACTTATTTAAATTAGCTGGCTCCAGGTCAGGTTTTGCCACAGACTTTGAGAGATATGATGAAATCTCTATATCTAAAGGTGTATAGCTCAAACTGCCTTGAGCTGGTCTGTTACATACTTGTAATCCTTCGTGGATGTGAGGTTGAGGTCTTAGTAAATACAGGAACAATCAGGCCTATATTTCACCTTGCAGTGTTTAAACATTTCCAGCAAAGCCATTACCCAGACTTTAAATTTAACTCCATCTCTTAATGGAGATAAGCTAAATGCTAGTGGAGAAGTTTGGCTCCAACTCACCATTAATGTTGTGTTTCCAGAATAAATGTACTACTAGATGGTATTGGTTCAGGTTTAGGCATCTCGGGGATGAGCCTACTGCCAGCATGGCCTGCAAAAAAATGTGGATTACAGCTTTATGGTAATTCATCAAATGCCTTCTAAGTACAGCCCTGGAAGAAGAGGCTGTAAGAGCATATTTAAAACATCAAATCCACAGGTATTATTTTGTAGTAAGCATGTAGTTGCATGTATCATTCTATGTGAATACAGTGAGCACCAGGTTTTGTTTCGAAAAGCTGCAATTCTCGGAGGGAAGTATACATATTTCAGTTATAATAACTTCCTGAAGAACGATACTATACAGCTGTCAAAAAACACACCAAAGTTAATTGTGAACTTAAGGTGGATGGTCGTGGTAGTGTGTACTCAAGCTTTTCCATTTCCTTGAACATATAAACGTCTGGATGCTTTGGAGGGTTCCAGATGATTCAGGCACCTTCAGACTTGAGTTGGCAATTAGCTGGTAGAACTGGATAGTGAAATTAGACCTCAAATTGCACTCATTACTAAAGTAGGACTGTATGAATTTCAGATATGTTGTTTTGCCACTGTAATGTACCAACTACTTTAAAGTAGTTGTTGACACATGCATTATTAGGTTTACAAGAGGAGAGCTGACTGATATATTTTCATAACATATCAGTGTTTGACCACTCAATTTATAATCTAAGTATGGTAGTTTAGAGAATATACAAGCATGATTAGATATGTTTGTGTTTCTCTCAGTTTTACATGTTCTGTCCATGTAGCTTAAAAAGTAGACGTTAAGGTTTCACTCGAGAACAAGATGGAGATGGTGTACTTAATTGTCATTATACCAAAATATATGGCAATGAAGTGAGTTGTGAATGATTTGCTTTGAATTCGTATGTTATGCTTTAGTTCATATCAGAAGGCTCTAAGAAGAGCTAGAGGTACCTTTGGTAATAGTTGTGTTCCAAGGATTCATTAGATTGGTGTAATCAATGCCTAATATTGTTGAATATTAACAATGACCATTATAGTATCTGAATGTTCTCAAGAGTGATGGCTTATTCCATTCACTAAAATGTGCTTTAGCTGATGCCCCAATGATAGCTTATTCTAAGTTTGATTATTCATTTATTCTGGATACAGATGCTAGAGATAGTGGAATTGAAGCAGTTTTACTGGAGGTGTAAGATGTATATATTGCACAGATTGTGTAATGGAATGCAGAAATCATTCAATAACAGTTGCTAAATTCCATTATTGTTCAACAAAGAAAGAAGTCCTTGCAGCTGTACACTTTCTAAACAATTTATCATATTGTCAAAGTAGACAAGAGTTCATGATTAGAATAAGCCATGTGTCACTGGAGGGGCTCATAAACTTTAAAGAAGTAAAAGGTTCGATAGCACACTGAATAACAACATTATAATAATACAATTTCACTTTGTAACACTGCAAAGCACCATAGAAATTTTGAGAACTCTTCTACAAATCAGTAAGACCATGTTCTTTTAAGTAATGTCCTGATATAGAGCATAAGACTGCAGTGAATGTTAAGGGTTATACATTATAGTGTCGAAAACCAACTCTGTTAGATCAACTTAGATAGAGCTCTGACACTGCTTGTTTTAGAGTGTGACCTCCATAGTGTGAAAACAGCACATAAGTCACAACCATTGATAACCGTATCAAAATATCAGAGGAACGATGGAAATATTCTATCATTTCTACGCCCCACGTGTATTGTGGTTCAGCTAGTGATCCTCAGAGCTCTAAAACAGAGGAGTCTTCGCAATTTGCACAATTCAAGAAATGGAGAGCACCGGGAAATGTTACTATGAACAACCTTCAGGCATGGTTTTGCAGCTTTCCTGCAAGGATGTGGGAAGATAATGAAGAGGAAAAGTCAGCCACGCAAATGCAAGTTGCAGCTGAAACTATGTAGTAGGTTTCCAAAGTAGAGAATAACCTTGATATTTTCCGGCATTTACTGGAAAACAATAAAGGTGAGAGGTATGTCCCAGTTGTGGTTACTTATCAAATGAGCGGAATTTTATTCTTTCACTGACACTTCAGTGCAGTCCATGGTTGGTAAGTTTACAGTAGATGTCTTGCTTTGGGCTAGAAACGCACAAAGATCAAGAAGCAGACTTCCATAAACTGCTGTTTGCTGTATTGTGCCAAGTATTAGGTGAGATGGAGACATTGCTACACCTTATCATCCTCAGTCATCTATTGATGGGCTTGCTGAATAAACTGTAATAGCTCTAAAATCTATGTTATCTCAAAATAATGTCATACATGGTAAAAAAGTAAAAGTCTACTGGCTGTTTTCCAGACTCATTGATGTTTGGAAGAGAAGTTGTAATACCTATGTATCTAAGAATGGTTCCCCACTGACTGAAAATACTTCAGTCTACCAAGAGGAATATCTAAAGCGAGTGTACTGCTGTTACTGACACACATAAATAAACACGATAACAGCTAGGAAAAGCAGCAGTATGAAAGAAAAGAGATTATGATAACACAGTGGTAAATAAACGGATGAAATATGCCTGTGGTATGCACTAGCGTCATGAGGAAGATAAAGTTGAGGAATCAGATTATAATAATCATGAAAGTCATAGTAATCTTGACTTAGCTGATGCTAACGGTTAAATGTAAGTACTACTCTGGCTTTATATGAAGGGACAGAAAACAAAAGAAAAACTGATAGGTGACCTCAAGCATATTATGACTGAAGATAATTAGGACAGTGCAAGGTGTGACACTTGGAAATATGTAACTGTACTCCACAGCGAAAGAGATTTGATTTCCTTTGCTTTGTGAGCTATCAATGAAATTTTACAGCGAAATGTCTACAGCACATTCTGTCTTAAATGCTGGACTTCAGGAGTTAAGTGTAATGACTAAAAACCCTTGTGATTTTATACTCTCTGAGTTGTTGAAGAGAATTCCACAATTAAAATATTCTAGCTGAAATATGATGAGAGCTATTTGATTAAACTAGCTAACATATAGTGGCATATTGAAGTGGTAACAAAGTAAAAGTAAATTACTATCTGTTAAGAAAGATGTCTTCTAGGGTGTAAAAATAATTGCTGATGATGAGAAGCAATAGAGTTAGTAAGTAGTAGCATAGAAGTTGACTTAGTTAAAACGTTCTGGTGTCCGACTCTAGATGACAGCGTGAACACTTACTTACCCAGCCTGATCACAGGAAGTGGTCAGTTGTGGTAATGTTTGTTTCGTTCCGCACACTTTTTTTTTATTTTGTTTGTAGTTAAGCACAAAGCTACACAATGGGCTACCTGTGCTCTGCCCACCACGGGTAGTGAAACACGGTTTTTAGCTTTATAATTCTGCAGACATACCGGTGTGCCACTGGGGGGTGGGGGTACTTTTTATTTTACTATGCGTTATAGATATGCGAAACAATGTATATACACCTGAGTGAATATTCACCAGAATTCTCATGGAACTCGGAACCGTACAATAAGTAGATAAAGAAAGATGTAAAAGTATGACACATTGGATGCAGGGAATGTGACATAATGAAGTACACATCTCTAGTATTCACTTCGTAATATGTTTATTTCACTTGAAGAAGTTTGTCATGATTTTGAACTGATGTGGTGAAAGAGAAAACACTGCACTGACGTGACATGAGACACAGTGGCAATGTTTGTGTTTCTCTCAGTTTTACAAGTTTTGTCGGTATAGCTTAAAAAAATAGACGTTAAGGTTTCACTCGAGAACAAGATGGAAATGGTGTACTTAATTGTGATCGTACAAAAATATATGGCAGTGAAGTGAGTTGTGAATGATTTGCTTTGAATTCCTATGTTATGCTTTAGTTCATATCAGAAGGCTCTAAGAAGAGCTAGAGGTACCTTTGGTAATAATTGTGGTCTAAGGATTCATTAAATTGGAGTAATCAATGCCTAATATTGTTGAATATTAACAATGACCGTTATAGGAACTCGAGAGTGAACAAAAAAAGAGATCATTTTTGCAGGAGAAGGTCGTATGTCTACTCCCACACAGGGTCAGTAGTAAGTTGTTTCCCGTAAGTCTCATTAAGAGTAAGGTAAGGGTGACTGCCACTCCTCTTCTGCGTGATTTGAACGTGTGTTGCTGTTGTTTTTTAGTGTAGAGACACTAGGGGTTTAGTTTATGACTTTAAAGTTTTATTTGACCTTACTTGAACTTATCAATACTAAGAAAACTTTTCTTTTATGGTCGAGTTTGGTGGTGTGCAAGTTTATTCTTCTGCTACCGTTTCGTGTGCAACTGCTACATTTTTATTAAGTTAACACTCCGTGAGAACTTGACTTCCTGACCTACTGACCTCATAAAGGACCAATAATAATGACCCTCCCCTTATTTGTGGTTGTAGTATCGTGTTATTTCTTTTATTCTGGGCCTTGTATTTACAATCTGAATTTCGATCTGTCTGCAATACAGAGAGTTTAATTTCGACATGGAAGGCTACAATGATCAAATTGTGCTGGAAGAACTAACTGTACCGTGTAATACTCGTGCTGATACGCTGGTAGAGATGGATGTGCATCTACAAGTGATGATGGTTTATAGATCCCACCGCTGGTTGTGAGGCCCTCTGAGAAGATATTGAATTTATCTCCTGAGGCAAAGGAACTTCTCCATACAACACACTGATTCAATAGACAATTAAGCAGTTAACAACAACATTCCAAGAGTAGCCACTAACAACTTATCTAGATTGTGCTATAGTCATTGGTCTTAAATTCTAGGTTGTGCTATAGGTTGTTAAAGTCATTGATTTTAAGTTCTAGATTGTGCTATAGTCATTGATTTTAAGTTCTAGGTTGTGCTTTAGTCATTGATTTTAAGTTCTGGGTTGCGCTATAGTCATTGGTCTTAAATTCTAGGTTGTGCTATAGTCATTGGTCTTAAATTCTAGGTTGTGCTATAGTCATTGATTTTAAGTTCTAGATTGTGCTATAGTCATTGGTCTTAAATTCTAGGTTGTGCTATAGTCATTGATTTTAAGTTCTAGGTTGTGTTAAAGTCATTGATTTTAAGTTCAGTTTGTTATCATAGTTTCATACTACTTTGTACTTTCATCATTTTTTAATTTGTCGACATCCAGTTTCAAATACCATTATTTCTAGTATTTGTTTCTGCAACTGATTGATACGGGTATCATTGTTTTTATTTGTTACCCGTCTTACGTCTTGCCTATTTCATTTCGCCAAATTCACGCACGTTGAGCATCCACTTTTGTCTTATTATCTACTTTCGAATCTGTGTCTAGTTTAGGTGGAGGTAATCCCCTGTCTGTTGCATCATCTATAACAGATCACCACACATGTTCTAGTTGTTACTTTGGAATTACACGTTTAGTGTTATTCTTTCCTAACTGAGACTTTTTTTTTACAGTAATAAAAAGATAAGAAAGGTTGTTATTTCACTTCCACCAATTCAGGTCACGCAAGGTTGGGGCACAGATATTTGCTGCCGCCTATTTGTGATAACCAACTACTTTTCCACACCTACGGCGTGAACTAAGGGCTTCGATAAATCTCAGGAAAAAAAAGCGTTAAACTACAGCAAGAAAACAGAACTTATATTTCCATAAATAATAATAATACCAGTCCTACTATTATTCGTGTTAATTATCACATGTTGAAGCACATTACTACAGAGAAGTTAGTGTTTATATGTCGAGCATTTTTATACAAATATTTTGTATTTGAGAAGTATAACGTGTTTTATCGACAGTTTGATTTTTAACTTTATTTAAATCGCCAAACAGGCGCCAAAAAATTGAATTTTAAATTCGATGACGAGGAACCCACTTTGAGACTAATAATGGCTGGAGACGGCTTGAATGGGTAATGAAGAAAAACTTTAATATAAGTTTAACGTAACAGCAAATGTACAACGTTTCGACAATAAGTTAGCAAAGGTAGCAGAATTTTCTTATATTATTATTTAATGTTATCTCTATCATTTAACTTAGATAACTGTACTATGTATATTCACGTTAGTGTACGAACACTTCTTTGTTGTTTTTTTTACTTTTTTTTGCTGTTTGTCGAACGGAGCCTCAAAACGGAATACTTCATTAGACTGTCGTGAAGAGAGGAAATTCATTATTCATTTTAAAAGTCCAGAAATGTAGCTTTTGAGTGGATTGTTAATTTTTATTTAACTTTGTTACAACGTTTCGACTACTCGTGTGGCCATCACCAGGTAACAGTTAGTAACGTTCATTCGACTGTATTGATTAATATAGATCCCTTGGTGGCCCAGCGGCAATCCCGAGGGCTTATAACGCTAAATATCGGATTTTGATGCTCGCGGTGGGCACAGCAAAGATAACCCATTGTGTAGCTTTGAACTTAATAATAACAACAAGCAAATAAAAAAGTTAATTAATATTTATTGATTGTTGTAGGTTCTTCTGCATTATATATTTGCTTTTCCGTAGTTGGTTTTTGATCCCGCTGTTACTTTCTTCTGATAATTTGAAGCTTTAAGTGGTGGATATAAACGACATTCAAACAACTGGTTCAAAAAACAGCTATATAGGTAGAATGATAACGATGGAAGGTCCTTGTAACTCCAAGCTACCAACTATATACTGTTAGAACGACTATTTAATGTGCTTGTAACATCACAAAAATGATATATAGAGTTATGAGTACGATGTGAAGTCCTTCTTACATCACAAAAACAACTATTGATTTATGATGCCTATATCAAATCCTTGCAACAAACAACTGTATCGCTTTATGACTACGATGTAAGGCCCTGTTAACATCACGTAAACAACTGTATGAGCTTATGACTACGATGTAAGGCCCTTTTAACGTCACATAAACAACTGTATTGCTTTATGACTACGCTGTAAGGCCTGTTAACGTCATATAAACAACTGTATGAGTTCATGACTACGATGTAAGTCCCTGTTAACGTCACATAAACAAACTGTATGGGTTTTAAGACGGCGATATAACGTTTTTCTAACACCACAAAAACAGCAATATATATATTTATGATGAGATGCAAGTTCCTTTAAATACTGCAAAAACAAATTGTATGGAATCATGATGACGATATAAGATCATTTTAACAGCACAAAAACATGAGTATGGATTTAATATGACTACGTAATGTCCTTATAACATCACAAAAAACAACTGTAAGATTTAATGGTAAAACAAAAATTAAAAACGTTTACACTATATCATTTTTTATATGCTAAGGATACCTTACCTTATTTCACTTTTCAGAGTATATATATATATAACTTAAATTTTTGCTGGGTTATTTAAATGCGTAATATATCTGCATAATACTACTGACAGAAATCTATTCACCAACGTGTCTAGAAGACGTTCATTGCAAAGCCAAAATGTTGTAGGGTTCTTTGCGTGAGCGCATTTTTGTCTAGTTGCAATGAAATTAAATAATATTTAGCACGTATTGTATGTTTTGGCGTGTCATTAAGCCGACCGTTATTAAATCAGAAATTGAACTGTATTGAAAATATGCTGGATGTTTGATGGATTTTTAAGAACATTTCCCACGGGAACAAGTAGCTTGAAAGTAATAACTGTTCCTTTAAACACTAGCAAATTAAAACCTAAAGATTACGAACTAATAGGGTTCAGGATATGTCGTTTCTGTGACGAAGTATACTACAGAACCTAATTAGTACACAAATCGTTTAACTTCTATAAACACTATAGTAAGAACGACATTATTTTTGAAATAATGGAGCTCAAAACATGACACTACGCAAAAGAAATAGAACTGGAAACATCTATTTCAAATGATGCACCAGCAAAAACGACGTTATTTTAGAAGTAACAGTACATACCTCATGTCATTCCTTCGATAACGTTTGAAATTTAATAGTATTCGTAGGGTGTCGAACCCATTCCTTTACGGTAGAGGTGGTATTACTTCAGCAGAAATAGGGCTCATAACATTTAGTTTCTGTGGTTTGATAACGAGAACAACGCAGCTCTTAGAACTACTGGTATTCAAAGTGTTTATCATGTGGAGTAGCAGTGTCCTTGGTATTAACTCAGAAATACTAACTCTTAGTGTATCGTTCCAGTGAAGTAGCAGTGGGTATGACATTAATTCAAGAGTAATAGCACTTAGTGTGTCATTCCTGTGGAGTAGCAGTGTGCATAGCATTACATAAGGAGTAATAACGCTTAATGTATCAATCCTGTGAGGTAGCAGTGTGCGTGGTATTACTTCAGGTGTGATAATGCTTAATGTGTAGTTCCTGTGGGTTAACAATGAACATGGCATTACTTCAGAAGTAATAATGCTTAATGTGTCATTCCTGTGAAGTAGCAATGTACATGACATTACTTCAGCAGTAATAACGCTTTCCATGGGGAATTAGTGAGCATGAAATTAATTCTGAGGTAATAAAACTTAATGTGTCACCCTGTGGGGTAACAGTGGGCGTGACATTACATTAAAGACAATAGCGTTTAGTGTGTAATATCGATAAAAAAATATATTTTACCTTAAAACTAATGAAGAGCGATATTGCTTCATAAGTGATATTTTTCCTATTAAATCACTTTAAAAGTTGGCGACGGGAATGACGCTTCAGTAACTCTAACTGTACTCCTTCCGTTATCAAGAAATATCACAGAACTTAAGATCTTAATAATGACGTTTTTAATGAAAATCATGTCCTCGTTCTGCAGCGAATTATTGTATGAGCGTTTGTTATTTAAGTACTGTAAAAATTTATAAATAGCAAGTGTATCATCCACGTAGTGTTTGTAACAATAAGATATCTTGTGGTCACTGTATATCTAATTAAAGAGAATCATTTCTAGGTTGTGCTATAGTCATTAATTTTAAGTTCCTGGTTGTGCTATAGTCATTGGTCTTAAATTCTAGGTTGTGCTATAGTCGTTGATTTTAAATTCTAGGTTGTGCTATAGTCCTTGATTTTAAGTTCTAGGTTGTGCTATAGTCATTTATCTTAAGTTCTAGGTTGTGCTATAGTCATTTATCTTAAGTTCTAGGTTGTGCTATAGTCATTGGTCTTAAATTCTAGGTTGTGCTATAGTCGTTGATTTTAAGTTCTAGGTTGTGCTATAGTCGTTGATTTTAAGTTCTAGGTTGTGCTATAGTCATTGGTCTTAAATTCTAGGTTGTGTTATAGTCTTTGATTTTAAGTTCTAGGTTGTGCTATAGTCATTTATCTTAAATTCTAGGTTGTGTTATAGTCATTGATTTTAAGTTCTAGGTTGTGCTATAGTCATTTATCTTAAGTTCTAGGTTGTGCTATAGTCATTGGTCTTAAATTCTAGGTTGTGCTATAGTTATTACCATGAAAACAAACGTGGTTTAGAGTTTAATGTAATTAGTTTATACGTTTACGTTTGAAATATCATTTCGAATAAGAGAATTGTATCTGAAATTAGTAAACGTTTGAAAATTAAATTATGCTCAAGTTTTAAGTTTAGGTAAAGAATAGTATCACCTAGCTCTCTCTAGCTTTATGTAATGTTTAGTCACATAATAGTTCAGAGTATATTATTATATTTGTTTAGGGTAAGGTGTATTGTTTGTTGAAAGAAAAAAACTTTAATTGAAAATATGAAATTTAACTCTCTTTTTTTATTCTTCTTAACAGAACCTGGCTGAACCTCCTACTTATATATATCACTAGCTGAGTTTGAAATGTTTTTTTGTAACTTTGCTCAGAAATATAATAATTTATTTCATTATTTTATTGTAATTGAACAACAACGTGTATTTTTTTTATGAAATATGAGGTATTGAAGAACACCTTATGTTTTTCTCGTTTCTCAGGTGTCCTACGCAAGGCCTAGCAGTGAAGCCATTAAGGGAGCCAACCTCTATGTTAGTGGTCTACCTAAATCTATGGCACAACAAGAATTGGAAAACTTATTTCACCCCTTTGGTCGGATTATCACGTCACGCATCCTTTGTGATAACATCACAGGTATTAATATCCCAGGTAGTTGATATTCTCCATGATAAAAGCTCTCTGTATTAAACATACTTAATATCATTGGCTCGGAAACTTAATATAACGCATAGTGTTTGTGTTTTACCCACGTACGGATCTCAACATTAAGTTTTGGGTTTGTGTGACTGTAAGTAATCACATCATTTCGTAATTAGCTAACTGAAGGAAGTAAGCTCAATGCATGTTTTAACTTGTTCAACACGAAACTAATATCCGGAGCGTACGTTTCCCGTCAAATTATGAATGTCTGGAAATTTTACTGTTAGTGTCTACTGGTATTGTAATGTTCAGTTGCTAGATCTCACTGGTATCGCTGCATAGCATGTGGTATTGTCTATACGGTACACTATCAAATATTATTTTATGCCACGATTTTTTTTTACCCTTGCAGCTTTGTACTGTCCATCAAATAAATTAAAAACGAAGTCCCAAACTTAGTAAAAGAGCGATATTTTTTTTTAACAAACGATGATCTTTGAACTTATGAAGATTAACTAAGAACTGACTGGAAGCAAACTCATCTCACACATTGGGTTTATTAAGTTTTCCAGTCTCATTTCTTTAATAAGGGCAAATTAACAAATTATTATAATACTGTTTACACACCCTGTTGGGGGTGTACATATTGAGTTGTATTGAGTAATGCATGTTTTTTTTTGTTTTTTTTGCCTGTTATAATATTCAGTGTAAAGAATTGACCAGAACATTTGGGTGAAATCACTCATTTGCCATGCAAAATACGTAGGGGATCTTAACAGTAATTTGTGGGATTAATTGCAGTATTGGTGGTATTCTTGTTTAAATATTTTAATGTATCTCATATGTTATTAAGGACTCTTAACCAACACGTTTGCGAAGTCAAGGAATAACAAGCAACGTGCATAAGTAGTCTAGATAATACGTTTAAAAACCTGATGATGGTCATTAATATCAGGTTAAGTGTTTTGTCTTTTCTAAACGTCCACCTCTTTTGATATTTCGTAACATGTAAATGATTTTCCCCCATTAAGTTTCAATTCATTTTCTTTTTCATTTAATGTACAACCAATTTACTTTTTCCCAACTGTGAGTGATTGGGAGGGGGGAGACTGTCCTTGAGCGAATTATAGCGTGGTTTAATTTGGCCTTGGAGTCAAGTTCTTACAATTATAACACAGTGATAACCCAGGCAAAATATAAAGAGATGACCCCTAAGTGTAACATCGTCCTTCCAGGTTTAGAAGTAACAATGTTACTGTTAATGATAACAATAAGCGTTTTCTGCATGAATGAGCTACATCATATCAGTGGAAGTGTTTAGCAAAAAAAAAAAACAACTCACTTTAAATACTGTTGAAGGTTTGTATTCTTCAGATAAACGTACCTTTTTTTTTAAACTCTTCCTTTGAATGCTGATATGATATTACTCAGAGACACGTAAGATTTTGTGTTACGACGCTCCCTTTGAATGCTGATAATGTATTTCTCAGAGACACGTAAAATTTTGTGTTACGACGCTTCTTTTGAATGCTGATAATGTATTTCTCAGAGACACTTAAGATTTTGTGTTACGACGCTTCTTTTGAATGCTGATAATGTATTTGTCAGAGACACGTAAGATTTGTGTTACGACGCTCCCATTGAATGCTGCTAATGTATTTGTCAGAGACACGTAAGATTTGTGTTACGACGCTCTCATTGAATGCTGCTAATGTATTTCTCAGAGACACGTAAGATTTTGTGTTACGACACCTCTTTTGAATGCTGATAATGTATTTCTCAGAGACACGTAAGATGTTGTGTTACGACGCTTCTTTTGAATGCTGATAATGTATTTCTCAGAGACACGTAAGATTTTGTGTTACGACGCTTCTTTTGAATGCTGATAATGTATTACTCAGAGACACGTAAGATTTTGTGTTACGACGCTTCTTTTGAATGCTGATAATGTATTACTCAGAGACACGTAAGATTTTGTGTTACGACGCTTCTTTTGAATGCTGATAATGTATTTCTCAGAGACACGTAAGATTTTGTGTTACGACACCTCTTTTGAATGCTGATAATGTATTTCTCAGAGACACGTAAGATTTTGTGTTACGACGCACCCTTTGAATGCTCATGAATTGTGTATTCCCTCGAGACACATAAGGCTTTTTGTAACAACAGTTTGAATATCGATAAAGTATGTAATTTACAGAGACACACATGAGAATATTTTAGCCGACACTTTGAATACAGATAAAAAGTGTATTTCTCAGAGACACGTAAGACACTTTGAATACCGATAAAATGTGTATTTCACAGAGACACGTAAGACACTTTGAATACCGATAAAATGTGTATTTCTCAGAGACACGTAAGACACTTTGAATACAGATAAAAAGTGTATTTCTCAGAGACACGTAAGACACCTTGAATACCGATAAAATGTGTATTTCACAGAGACACGTAAGACACTTTGAATACTGATAAGGTGTGTATTTCTCAAAGACACGTAAGACACTTTGAATACAGATAAAAAGTGTATTTCTCAGAGACACGTAAGACACTTTGAATACTGATAAGGTGTGTATTTCTCAAAGACACAGAAGATATTTTGTAACGAAACAGAATTTAATATGGGGTATTTCTCGAACATCGTTTGTCAAAAGACAAACTCAACTGGTGTTAGACACGGGTTACGAAATCTCCACTATTTTCTGAAATCTCTAAGTTACCAGTTCTGTAAATAATGTAATGAGATTAAATTAAATGATACATTTTTGGATACTTATGATATTGAAACATCGTTTAACTCGCTATTGCAGGCAATGCATTTATGAAAAATAACACAAAAAATACAGTGGTACCAGAAGTTGTTTTTTTTTTTCTTTCATTAAATTTTGTCACCTACAATTTTTTTAGGTGTTAATTAAACTGCCAACTTCTACGTATAGGTTACTTAAAGATAAATTATTTCTTCTGTTTTCTAGGACTATCAAAAGGAGTTGGATTCGTTCGCTTTGATCAAAGAATTGAAGCAGAGCGTGCAATCAAACAGCTGCACAACACGATCCCAGATGGCGCAACTGAACCGATAACTGTGAAGTTTGCCAACAACCCGAGCAACAATGCTAAGGCCATAGCGCCGCTGGCAGCCTTCTTGTCACCGCAGCGCCGGTTCCCTGGCCCAATTCATCACCCTGCCAACCGCTTCAGGTACATACCTCTGTCGCCGATCTCCAGGTATGGTTACTTAGCGCCTCCTATACGTTGTTCAGTTGCGGTTTATGTTCCAAAATTAAGGTATTTTGTGTTGATCCTATCATTGACATCGAAATCTCGTTTTAAAATTAAAAATATTAAAAAAAAATGTTTTCTAAGCTTGCATCGTACAAACACTTGTTTTAGAAACCGTAACTGCAGTGGAGCGAAACCGTGACTACAGCAGCGGAGTGCTGTGTAACCTTTGCCCTTTGTTTGCATGTTTTTTGTTGGTTCATTTTTACAAAAAATAAATAAATAAAATGAATCTGTTGCTCTGAACAACAGTGTTACATAATCATGACTGTAGTAACGCTATGTAAACTTTTGTTTTTGTTTGTTTGCTTTTTATTTGAAGCCAATAGCAGTGGAGTAAAGCTGTTATTCCAGTAGCTGAGAACTGCTTAACGTTTGTCATTTGATTTATTTTCATTTTATATATATACATATAAATATATATGTAAAAAAAATCCGTGGCATGTTGGAAAGAGTTTTGAAAGCTCGTTACAGTAATAACACACAAAGCCATGTCATTTTTGTTTTTATTTTGTTATTTATATTTTGAAGAATGCTCTTTAATTATTTGTTGCTGTTTATTTGTTGCTGTTTTTTTTAATTATGAAACAATTCGCTTTCTTAGTTTTAGGCTGAATTACTACGTCTTGGAACGCTGAGTCACATTTACTAACC